TGAAGGAATCTCTTGATGTTTCTGTATTCTGAGTTCTTCAATTAATGTGTCTAACCTTTACGAGATAATGCTGCTTTTCAAATCAATGGTTTGTAAAATATGAATTAATTTAATTGCACTCCTGAATCTAGAGTTGCTTTTGTTCATCATGTGTTGTTGAACTGTTATTTTCACAAAGGTCAAGTCATGACTCTCAGGTACCTGTGAATTGAACACATACCAAATTTTCTTTTACTCATTAATAAATGCGGGAAACAGTTAGATATGATTACTCAGTAAAAAGCATCTGCAAAGCTAAGATATCTAAAGATAATTTGATTGCAGAGTTAGATGTAAAATTATTGTCTACCAGGACTATAAATCCTTGAGGTTATATGTTCCACTAGAGAAATTTTTTTGTATCTTTACCAGACAAAAATCTACACGTTAAGTAACTTCATTAAGTCTGGGCCCTTTAATCAGTAGTAAACAGTGAGATGAACTAAGTTCTTTCCACTAGAGCGGGGCCGGCAAACCTTTCTCTTTTCGTTTACAGATAGAAACTAAATGTGTCAGGCTTTGTGGGCTTCTCCCCTTTCTCCTTGGCAGTGCAGAAATAGTCTGTGGGCTGGATTTGGCCTCTGGGTCCTGACCCTAGATAACTCTGGGGAAGCCATTTCTCCATCTGACATGAGAGGGCATGCTGTCCACCTCTTCTGCTTTCCAAGTTTCTTCCTTCCTCCCTTCCTCCCTTCCTCCTTTCCTCCCTTCCTCCCTTCCTTCCTCCCACCCTCCCTCCCTCCCTCTCTCTCTCTGACAGTGCTTTCTCAAAGAATAAAATCAGAGTACAATCGCTGTTATGTTGGTAGGGGTGGTGGTGGTAAAATGTTGGCATTAAGAAATTCTTCATATTAGAAAGGTTGGGAACTTTTTCTTAAGTTCAAAAAAGGTCAGGCTGTGCTGGGAGAGGGAGGTGGGAGGCAGGATGCTAATGTCAGACACTGCTGGATTCTGGCTGTTGAGAGGAACACCATTCGCCAGATGTTGGACACAGTGGTGCAGGCAGGTTTTTTCGCCACTTCCAATACTTTGAAAAATTCCCTGTTGAAAGTCAGTATTTTGAAAACAGCTTACCTTGCTGTACACTGCCTCTTCTATCTACATGAAAAAAAGGGGTGTGTACATTTGGGGGGGTGCGTGTCATAATGCTGTTTTTCGGAAGGAGTCCTCTGGGAACTTAAAGAATCAGCAGGAGCTTCCTTCTCTGGTTTATTCACCTTGACTTTCTCTTTGGAAACAAATATTAATTGAGATTTTTTTTAACCTGTTGAGTTTTTGCTATTGTATTAAAGTGATTCTCTCTTTTGCTGTTTTTTTTTCCCCCTAGCAGGAGGTCTTGAATAATGCATGGGGTGGATGCTTATATTGATAAACATGGTTAATTTTAATTGTATGACTAAGATTTATGCCAGTCTTTCTTCTTTAATTTATTTTTATGATTCTGAGTATAGATGTGAATTGTTTTTAAACAAAGGGGGGAAAATTTCTTTGGCAGCTCAGTGATATGTTGGGTGTATTGGGTGTGTGGATTTGTCCTTTTCTCTGTGTCTATTTCTTTTGTCAACCTATTGGCTATGTTGATGCCTAGCAGTGTCTCACTGGTGCGACCTTGGCTTATGGTGGGGAGTGCCCATTTAAATTCTCTGACCAATTATCTATTCATTGTTTTGGAGGACAGTTCTTTGGGGAGGGAAGCTTGGTTGGAGCATCATGTCCTTTCTTTATTGCATGAAAATTCTAAGACAGCAGCTGCATTTTCGGAGACCAACATCGTATCTCTCAAACTGAAGATTTAGAATTTGATATAGAATTATTTTAAAAAGTTTAAAAAACCAGCCAGGGTCAAGAAACATGAAAAGGTCTGAGCCCACACCCTTCCTTGCTCACCGGGGTAAGGGTGGATTCTTAGTGTTTTGGGGGCAGACAAAAGAGAGGGCAGAGCAGGATAGAGTCCCTTGATCACTATTTCAGAAAGTAGGTGCCAAGCTAAATGGTTGTCATTCGCAGCTGTTTTTGCCTGGTTTCTGGTTTCAAACCTGGGATAGTTTTGGTTATTAGTTGATGTGATAGCTAGTTAATAATAGGAAAGGCAATCTCTTTAGATTTATTTCTCTTTCAAGTAATTATTTTACTGATTTATACTCCAATTTATACTTTGGTAGATAGTTTATAAAATATATACAATATAAGGTGATATAAAAATAAGCAAAGAAATAGAGTAAAGGGAATCATTCCTTCGTTCACCCATTTATTTATTCATTCCACAAGTACTTATTCAGTGCCTCTGCATGCTGGGCACTGTTCTCTGTGCCTGACTATTTCAGCAAACAAAGCAGACGCACTTCTTGTCATTGTGGAGCTGTGCTTCAGCCTGGGATGAAGGGAGATAGACAGTGAGTACATACACATGTGAACATGGACACGGCAGGTGTGCCTTCGTGTGTGTGGACAACAGTGAAGCCCAGTCGGGGTGAGGGTAGGGGGAAGGGAGGGTTGCTCTTTTGTACGTTGGCTCAGGCAGGCCTCTCTGATGTGACATTTGATCTGAGACCTCGAGGAAGTGACGGGAGTCATGTGACAGCTGCAAGAAGAGTTTCAGAGAGGGAACAGTCAGTGCAGACACTTGAGTTTGAAGAGCAGCCTGGAGGCCGGAGTAACTGGAGGGAGAAGGGAGTGAGCGAGTCTGAGGAGATGTGGGGTAGGAGTAAGGTTTCACTCTGAGGTATAGAACACCACTGGGTTTTTTTTGACAGTAATAACCACAAGTTGACTTCCATTTCAGTACCACTCTGATAGTCATACTGGGAATAGTCAGTAGGGAAAGGAAGGAAGCAGGGCCGCCGGTTAGGAGGCTACTTCAGACAGGAGATGGTGAGGACTTGGATCAGAGGTTACTAGTGAAGCTGACAAGGGAGGTTGGATTCTGGATATATTTTGAAGGGGAAATAATGGCAGGATTTGCTGATAGATTGGGCGTGTGTAAAGTGTGGGAGAGACGTAAAGACTCTGCCCTCAGGTATTGGGAGAATCACCACAGACGGAGACAGATAAGGCTAAGGAGAGAATATCCAACAAACTAGGAATGAAAGGGAACTTCCTCAGCATGGTGAAGAGCATCCGCAGTTCATATCCTTCTTAATGGTGAAGACTGACTGCTTTTCCGCTAAGATCAGGCGTCAGACAGGGGTGTCCACGCTTGCCTCTTCCTTCTCGCATCGCACCAGGGGGTCCTAGCCAAGGCAGTGAGGCCAGAAAAGGAGTGAAGAGCATCCAGATGAAAAAGGAAGAAGTAAACCGATCTCTCTTTGCAGATAACAATTTTATATATAGAAAATCCTAAGGAATCCTACTAAAAAACTGTTAGAACTAATACATGGGTTCAGCATGTTTGTAGGACCAAGATCAATGTACAAAATTCGATTTTATCTCTACACATTAGCAATGAACATTCTGGAAATTAAGAAAATAATCCCACTGAATGCCATGAGACTGGATGAGATCAGTGAGCATGGTGGAAAGAGAGGTCTGAGGTCCGAGCCCCACGCTGTCCACACTGAAAGGTCAGGGAGATGAGGAGGAGCCAGTGAGGTCACTGGACAGCCGAGGGAGGGTTGTGTCTTGTGGGCAGATAGTTCAGGAGGAAGGAGGTGATCAGCAGTGAGTGAGGAGCTGAGGGTGAGTGAGATGAGGAGTGGGAGTCACAGCTCAGTGAGTGGGTGAGCACGGGGGACAGAGGGAGAGAAAGGGAGGGAGGGGGGTGGGGGGAAGGAATGTATAGAATCGATACTTTGAAAAATGCAGTGAAGATTGAGTACTAGAAAAGTGTATGTGCCCCCCCCCCCCATTTTTTCCTTATTAGATTCAACAGACATGAATATTCTCAAATCATTATAAAAGCGTGTAAACACTCAATTTCTGTGCCTATCTCGCGGTAATCTGTTCCAGTTTGTGGAACCCACTTTGTGTTGTGTAGGTCTGGGTTTGGCCAGAGGAGCAGGAGCTGAAATTCATTCAACATGGATTTGATACACAGTTCTGTGCTATATGACAGGAGGTATTTGTCCGAGAATATATATCGGTCTCACCTCCAAGAGGCTGTATATCTCCTTGTTCAGAAAGTCTGAAGCCTGAATTTTGGTCCCATGTGGTTTATAATCATGAGCATGTCAGAAATCACAAGAAGCCTATTCTGAAGCATCATCCCTTTCTGTGAATGGAAACAGCTCTCTGCTGTCTTCCCCACAACCCTGACGTTCGTGTGGTGGTCTATTCCGAATTGCTCATTTAAGCCTCACACAACTTCGTGAGGTGGGTGGGTTTTTCATCCTTGTGAAGAAATGGGCCCGGCAGACGGAACAAGCACTCTGCCCTCGGGCTCCCTGAAGGTGACGGAGCCAGGACTACCCTGTTAAACCCACGAACTTGCCACCAGGCTGCGCAGGAGGGTTTTTAAGACCCTTCCAGATACGAATTTATTGTCAGCTGTATGTTGATTGTTTATGTCCTGCTTTGTTATGAATTTGAAGGTTGAATTTGGTGTCTCTTTGGGTGGGTGTGTTCTCAGTATAGCAAGGCAAATAGACTTTTTCTTTTTTAATCCTCACCTGAGGACATTTTTCCATTTTTTGTTCAGATAGAGTGGGAGGGAGAGAGAGGAAGAGAAAGAGAGAGAGAAACATCGACGTGAAAGGGACACATCAAGTGGCTACCTCCTGCACGACCCAACCAGGGCCGGGGACAAACTGCAACCAAGGCACGTGCCCTCAGCGGGAACTGAACCCGAGTCTCTCTGGACCGCAGGCCGACACTCCAACCGCTGAGCCAAACCGGCCAGGGGTAGACTTTGTTTTTCAATGTAAACAGATGCTGGATTACGCAATTGTTGGCTTTAAATTCTCATCAGAAGGGCTGTTGGTTTCTAGAAATGCTGCCTTGTAAATGAGTTGTTTCCTCTTTCATAGTGTATGAATTATTCGCATTCATCAGTCACATGGGAACATCGACAATGAGTGGCCATTATGTTTGCCATATCAAAAAGGAAGGCAGGTGAGTGTTTATTAGAAGGTAACTGATATCTGTGTTTTATTGAGCACCTAGGGAGTGCTAGGCACTGTACCAGGTGCTCATATGTTATTTTATTTGGTTTTCACAATGGTCTTGTAGGCTATACTCTGTTTTTAAAGTTTTTTTACTGATATTTTTAGAGAGGGAGGGAGGGAGAGGGAGAGAGAAACATCGATTGGCTGCCTCCTGCACACCCCCTACTGGGAATGGAGTCCACAACCCTCCATGTGCCCTGACGGGGACTCAAACCAGCAACCTTTTGGTGCATGGGACGATGCCCAACCAACTGAGCCAGGACTTGTAGGACATGCTTTTAAAGCCATTTTGCATACTGAGACACCAAGGCTCAGGGAGGCCAAATAGCTTGATCTTAGCTACTAAGGAGCTGTGTCGAGCTGGTGTTCAAAGTCACTGTTCAGCCATCATGCCATCATACCTAGGCAACTTTCCAAAATAAAGGTGCACCCTATAGCAGAATGTATGTCATATGTTGAACCTCTATAGGATTGCCAGATTAAGCCAACGAAAAGGGAAAACCAGATGCCCTATTAAATTTGAATTTCAGTAAGAATAACTTTTTACATAATCGTGTTTCGAATATTGCACGAGGCATACCAACAACTTGTCTGTTGCTTAGCTGATGTGCAGATTTGTCGGGGTAGCCTGTGTTTTATCTAGCAGCCCGGACCCGTCCTGCCCTGCTCTGTGGCAGCCTTGCAGCAGCCTCTGGGCTTCCGAAGTAGAACTGTTAGGTGTGCGGTGACCTGGGAATGAGGCAGATTGGGATGCAGGGCTGCCCCTGTCTCCAGGACCTTCTCCCTGGGCCAGATCCCTGCAGGCCCCCTGGTTTCCCTCCCAGAGCTCCCCACTGAGCAGCCTGGGGTCGGCACCCCTGCTCAAGGCAGTGTGGGGCCTGTGATGCTGAAGGACACGGGGCCTCGGCCTCTCCGGTGGGATGTTGACCTCTCACCCCTTGCCTGTCCCTGCAGGGTGACCAGTTCCCCCCCAGCACGCGACTGTTCCTTTTTGGTGTATCTCTTCGTCTTGTCCTCACTTGATTCATAAAATAGTTGAGCACAGGGACTTGATTCATAGTGAATTTTTTTATTACCCAACCTGGTAGCTCTTTTAAAAATACTTAAGAGAACGAATTTAATTATAATTTTAAAAGCCATAAAAATCATCGTAAGGAGTTGGTAAAATATCACAACATGCACCAAACATGTCATCTGGAAGCCTAAGGGAAGTCATTGTCTATATTTGGATCTATTCTTTGTTTTATTGTTTTTATAGGAGACGGTGTATAAGTCTGTATGCACACGCACTACATATAAATGTACATATGTGTTTATAACTTTTCTAAAAGCTCAGTGTACACAGCACATGTGAGTTTGCAACCAGCTTTTTCTCACTTCATGTTATATTGTGATTATTTTCTCCGTTTACTAAATATTCTTTGAAAACATCGTAATAGTTGTATATTAGTTCACTGCCTGGCTATTTACTTCTGATTTTTAGTTAGTTTTATACCCAAGGCTGAAATAAACACCATTGTACATAATTCTTTGACTCAATTTTGGAGGTTGTTTATGAATTTCTGCAAAAAGAATTATGAGATCAAAGGGTTTATAATGTTTGGAGGCTCTTTTAGTAACTACTTATTGATGGAGCTCGAGAATGAAAAAGCAGCTATAATTTCCCACCAGCCTCCTGTTCCTTTCTATACAGCAGACTCGTGTTCGGTTACCTCAGCGCAGCCTGATTCTTTTGTGTACAGCGCAGTAGCTTTTCTTCTGCAAAGTTGCCTGGAACTGACTTAAATGCACCCAATACTTCTGTCTTCTGTTTTCAGGTGGGTGATCTACAACGACCACAAAGTGTGTGCCTCAGAAAGGCCCCCTAAAGACCTGGGCTACATGTACTTTTACCACAGGATACCAAGCTAAACCTCAGACGTCCAAGTCGGCGAGAAGCCACACGCCTTTTTAATTTGCCAAAAAAAAAAGAAGTTGGGACAGCCAGACATGAAGGAATACATGGGGGTATTTATAGTTTATTTAAAGAACATCATTTGACGCCTTCTGAAATAGAACTGGGAAGAAATTTCTATTAGTGATGATACACTCCTGTAGATAGTTTTTCTTCTTATAAATGTTCAGGGACAGAATGATTAAAAACAGAAGAGGATTCCTGTCACCTGGGGGAGTCTGCCAACGACACATCAAAGACAGGATTGTGCCGCCAGCCCTCTGTTTTGCTTTGGGGGTCAGTGGTGTGGCCTCACCCACAATAAATGAAAAGCCTACTTTTGTTTCATATCGAAAATCAGTACCTGGGCTGGGCTTTGCTTGTGACCTAATTTTTTCATTAAACACAATAACTTCCGACATGTATAGTGGATTAGAGCATCTGCAATGAAATGTTTTTAATTTCATCACATCACAGTTCAGAATACAATTGTGCGAATGTGTGTGAGATTGAAAGTGTTGAGACCTTCAGAGTCAACGAGGAAATCTGACGGGTTGGTTGTTAAAGGTTAAAGCCGTTGGCATTAAGCATAGCTGGAAAAAACAAGTACATCTTTTAAAGAAATTATAACTCAGGAACAGTTTAAAAAATTAGTTCCCCACTTACATTTTCAGGCATAAAAAGGGCTGAGCTGTCCCTTTAAGCGCTGTCAAGAATTCACTTGGGTTTGTGATATTTGGTGACGTAACGCCAGGTGCCAGATGTCCGCAGCAGCACAGTATTATTCTTTGCCAAAGGTGGATGGCTTCTGTGTCTCAGCAGCACCCCCTAAGGAATAGTGTGTATTTTTAGCTGATCGCTTGTTATCATAACCCATGACAACTCCTTGGACTCATGCTAAGTGCCCCAAATTGTCTGATTTTCTCATCGCTGAGCTCTTTGCCTGCCTCCATTTCTCTGTTTCCTGGGGCCGGTCTCACCTCTATCCTTTCTTGGCCGAGCACCTCCTGACTTGCCTTCACTGCTTATCCGCTGCCACCAACAATGTGATTTGGGGCTGTCCAAGGGTTTCAGATGCAAAGAAGCTTGGTATGAGATTACGAAAGACCGTCACTTCCATTTGGTATTTCAGCATATTAGTTGCAACCTAGGATTAGCTCGGAGTTTTAGATGCGATGAAGTATGATAATGCTCTGGACGTCTCCTGCTGCTCTGTCCCAAATTCTGGTCTCCTTGGAGTTTCTATTTCAGATGATTCCGTCAGATGAAAAGGGATTTGTTGCTGTCCGCTGAAGATGCATCTGATTGGTACCAAGGATCTTTCTAGAACTGTAGGAAAATAAGATAGAACCAGCTGGGTGAGATGGGCAGAGGCAGTGGATTATGACCTGGTGAGCTGTGAATGATCAGGATTCCGGTTGCGATGGGGCCTGTCGCACAGGAGATCAGTTACGCCGTGGGGGCACGTGGCCCGGAGCCCTGGCTGCTGTCCCTAGTGGTCAAGTCCCTCATACTCCCTGTGCCTCACCTTCTTTGTCTGCACGGTGGTGGGATGACACCTACTCTCTTTTTCCAGCTGTGCTTTGAAGACATGGTGAGGTTTGATGGGGTGAACCTTTAAAGAGGAGTAGGTGACGTGCCCTGGGGGGTACCAGTAGAGTATTCTCCCTCCTTTCCCTCATCTGATGTTTTCTTCAGTTTGGGAACAAATGAAGTTGCCATAAGGAGGGAGCTCATGGTGCGGTAACTCTCTGCTAAACTGCCCACCGGTGTCACATGTTAATGCTGGTTCAGATATCCTCCAGCAGCCCAGTCCGTTCCACGAGCCCTCGACTCCTGCCGAGATCCCCACGCTAAGCAGCCTTACAAAGTCTAGTCTCCTTAGGGCTGAGTGAGTACCCTGGAATAATGACGCCAAACATAAAAAATGACCAGTTTTCAATGCTATTACAAAGCAAAGGCCTTTTTGGGGGTTGGGGGGTGGGGGGGATGATTGGGAAGTTAGACTGAAATGTGGACAAAGATAGTGTGTGTATTTTAAACAAAATAAAAATTTTACAATGCAACTTTGCTAAATGAATGGTATAAAATCAGTATAGAAAAGTATAGGCTATACGATATTTAATTTAAGTAAGTAGAAAAATAAATTTAGCCCTTTTGATGCCTAAACATATTTATTGTAAAAAGAAGCATAAAATGGCTGCCTTTTCTTTCTGCCTCAAAAAACAAAGGGCTATTTCTACAAGGCAAAGTTTTGTATATGTGCTATTCTTTATTTCAGATGGAGAATTGGGGAAAAACTGGAGCAAACAATGAGTTTCTTTTTTGCTTAAAAATGTATTTATATGTATTCCTTAATATATGTAAGGCAGGTTTCCCTGGAAGAAAAGTCTGGAACATACTGCTTAAATTCACACATGTATGTAGATGAGATTATTTGTAACTGAAGACTGGAGTCATGTATGGATTTTAACAATTGATTATCAGCCTGTTAGTTCTCCTCTGTGTGAGGCGTGGTGATATAATTGTGAAATTCTTCCTGTGTGTGGGTGTATGTGTGAAGGAGAGCCCCTTTTCCTGTAAATACCTTTTGATATCCATTTGTGTAAAATTCCAATGAATGTGTCCTTTGGAAAATATGATGTATCAAAGTTTTTATTTTGTCAATTGATCTAAATGTCCATATAACTAATTAGAAATCCAGTTTGGTTCAAATTGGGATTTTTTTTTTTTAAGGGAAAGAAGTATACAGAAAGGACTGCCATTTTACATCAGCGTTGCTTCATTATTTTGACTTAGCTGTTTTCTCTCACCTACAATAGAATGTACCTGCCACTCCCCTGTGCTCACTGTGGGCTGCAGGACATGTAGTGTGAGTAGCTGGAGCGGGGACTCCCCACAGCCGTTACTCCCCTGAGGCCTGAGTAGGTGGGGCCTCACTTAGTTCCTGGGGAGGGCACCTGGGTGTGCAGCCGACTCCACCTCCCCGTGTGATGAGGCCAAGTCACGTGACCTCTCTGGGCCTTTTTCTTTCAAATGAGTGGGTTAGACCAGATAAGCTCAGAAGTCCCTTCCTGTCCTAACAGTTGATTCTATTTTATTTTCCTGTTATGACTGAGGTCAGACGTGTAAGACGTGACATCGCATAGGTTATGTTTTTGGCTGGTTAAAGTGCACACACCCCAGCTTAGACCCTATCTCATTTTTATTGTCCCCATCCTGACTTCTATTTCCACTTCTTCACTCATTTTCCCACCACTCGTGAAAACTCTCCACTTTCCAGTCCACGAGTTACTTGGTTACCATTCCCCTCGAAAATGAGAAATTCATTTTACGTTCCTCCGGCTCTAAAAACCCCCAGAACTACCTTCAGCTAAATCTGTCACATTTGCACAACATTTTCTTACTCTAATTCAGTTCTAACTCTGATCCCTATCAAGTGATGAGAAAGTTGCCTGTCACAGAAGGATGCCTTTTCGTCTTGTAGGGTCACTGTGTCTAACCCACAGTGTCTGGGAGAGATGACAGGTGGCAGGGCTGACAAGGAGAGAGGGTCAGAAAAAACATGATTCTGTATTTCACCTTCGGGCGGAAATCCTAGGTGGCAGAACAAGGGTCTGGATGAGACTGCATAAACTGGTGTATGAGATGACCTGCACGGTGCCTCAGAGATCCCCTACTCAGTAAATCATCCCGAGAGTTTGTATTAATATTCTCTAGACCTGCGCTATTCAGTAGCCGCGTGTGGCTGATTAATGGCTTCTTGAAATTTGGCTTGTCCAAACAGATTGTGCTGTGCATATAAAATGCACACCAGATTTTGAAGCTTTGCTACAAAAAAAAAAAGAGAATGTAAAATATTTTATCAATATTTTATAGTGATTACATGCTGAAATAACAATATTTTAGATATATTAAAATGTAACTATTTCTTTTTATTATCTTTTAATGTGGCTACCAAAAAATTTTTAAATTAAACATGTGACTTGTACTTCTGTCGGGCAGTGCTAACCTAGACGCAGGCGGTGTGGGGTCTGTGGGGTCGGCAGCGCAACGCCGTAGGTATGGAAGGGAATTCTAGAAGCCTCTAGAGAGAAGCAGCACACGTTTTCGCTGGAGTCAGGAGCACTGTGAGACACAGAACGCCTTCCGGAAAGCAGAAGATTTTTCTGTGTAAAACAATATGTATAAGACCCAATTAAAAGACAAAAGCAAATGAGCCCCAAACTCTGTTCCTGCAGCTCTATCTAGACACCTCTAAACTTCGCACTTACCTTTCAGGCAACTCCCAGGTGCCAAGGACGTCAGCCACAGGGGTGCTGGGCGTATTCCTTTCTCTTTGGGCAGCGTTCTCTTGTGGTTCCCCCTCCCCGGGTGTTGTGCAGTCTGGTTGGAGCCTGGTGTGTTGAGATACTGTGTAAATCTCGTCGACCCCCGACCCACTGCCCTCTCCGCCTGGGCAGCGGCTGCGCCTGGCGTCTGTGCCCACCTGCCCACCTGCCCAGCAGGCTTCCATGTGGGCTCCGGAAAGCATTTGTATTTATTCTGTTTTGTTTTGCACTAGTCACAGTTGGTGTTTAAAATATCTCATGTTTTGGGAGAGTATTTGCCTGTGATGGAAAGAGAGATGGATGATTTATTGCTTCAGTTGTTTTAAAATTAAAAGCTATTCTCGCAATCTGAGGTCCCTTTATGTCTCTCTCTCTCTTTTTCTTTTGCAAAATGCCAGGTAAACTAGTTCTCCTCTTTGTAGGTTCTCATCCATCAGTGGAACAGGTAAATTGGGCCAAGGACTAATTTCGTTTCCTGTTAGGTTTCTTTGTGTGGTCACCAAGCTGCCTGGTCCCCGTCTCCAGGAGAACATCTGCAGTGGCAACTGTTACCCAGTGAAGAAGGGAGGGGCCCAGGCAGGGAGGAGTCTGTTCCTTCAGTTGTTCCCTACTGATGTGTCAAGTTGAATATTGGAGTCGAGACCTTTCTGTGGTTCCGACTCTCAGTTTGCGGGTGGCTTCCTTCACGCAGGTCCCAGCAGAATCA